GGGGGATGCCATTGGTTAGGGGATGCCATAGGTAAGGGGTTTCTATGGGCAAGGGGATGCCATAGGTTAGGGGCTGCCATGGATAAGGGGTTTCCATGGGCAGGGGGATGCCATAGGTTAGGGGCTGCCATGGGTAAGGGAGTGCCATGGGTAAGGGGATGCCATGGATAAGGGGTTTCCATGGCATGGAGATGGTTCCCCCACATCCCCCCCAGGCTGGGTGATGCTGAGCAGCTTTCAGTTCTCCTTTGCAGCACAGGGATCACGTCTCCCTTATGCTGTGCTTGGGCTTGGAGATACTTTCCCCATCCTGCCCAGTCCTCCAGGGGCCACGTGGGATCCCGAATCACGGAGCATTTTGCACCAATCGCAAACAGTAACTCACGGGGATGAAATTCCCTGCAAGGGCGAAAGCAGCGCTGCTAACCCTGCCTCCCCTTCTCCTTTTGCTGCTTCGTGCCACGTCAGAAATGGAAAAAGTATTGGGGCGTTCTGTACCGGGAAACCCCCTGCTCCACCGCCCGCCTGGAGCTCTTCGAAAGCGCCGACAAACCGCGGAAGGGCGAGAGCAGCCGGCGCCTGGTGAAGCTGAGCGACTGCGTGCACGTGGCCGAGGCGGGCGGCGAGGCGGGCTGCCCCAAAGCCACGGCCCCATTCCTGCTGGAGACCACCGAGAAGCGGTACCTGCTGGCGGCCGAGGGCGGCGAGGCGGAGGGGTGGGTGAGGAGGCTGTGCCAGCTGGCGTTCCCGGTAAGAGCTGGGGGATGTGGGGATGGGCGGGTGGGATAATCGGGGGTGTTGGGGGTGATGGATCCATTTGGGGGATGGATGGGTGGGATAAGCGTGGTATGGGGGATGCTGGGTCCGTTTGGGGGTATGGATGGATGGGATAACCTTGGCTTGGGGATGCTGGGTCCATCTGGGGTATGGTTGGGTCCATTTGGGGTATGGTTGGGTCCATTTGGGGTATGGATGGATGGGATAACCTTGGCATGGGGATGCTGGGTCCATTTGGAGTATGGATGAATCCATTTAGGGTTTGGTTGGATCCATTTGGGGTATGGATGGATGGGATAACCTTGGCTTGGGGTTGCTGGGTCCATTTGGGGTATGGATGAATCCATTTAGGGTTTGGTTGGATCCATTTGGGGTATGGATGGATGGGATAACCTTGGCATGGGGATGCTGGGTCCATTTGAGGTATGGGTGCGTCCATTTGGATTATGGGTGGGTCAATTTGGGGTATGGATGAGTGGGATAACCTTGGCTTGGGGATGCTGGGTCCATTTGGGGTATGGATGGATGGGATAACCTTGGCATGGGTCCATTTGGGGTATGGATGGGTCCATTTGGGGTATGGTTGGGTCCATCTGGGGTATGGATGGATAGGATAACCTTGGCTTGGGGATGCTGGGTCCATTTGGGGTATGGTTGGGTCCACTGGGGGTATGGATGGATGGGATAACCTTGGCTTGGGGATGCTGGGTTCATTTGGGGGATGGTTGGGTCCATTTGGGGTATGGATGGATGGGATAACCTTGGCTTGGGGATGCTGGGTCCATATGGGGGGTGGATGGAATAACCTTGGTATGGGGGATGCTGGGTCCATTTGAGGTATGGGTGCGTCCATTTGGATTATGGGTGGGTCAATCTGGGGTATGGATGAGTGGGATAACCTTGGCATGGGGATGCTGGGTCCATTTGGGGTATGGATGAATCCATTTAGGGTTTGGTTGGATCCATTTGGGGTATGGATGGATGGGATAACCATGGCACAGGGAGGCTGGGTCTATCTGGGGTATGGATGGATGGGATAACCTTGGCATGGGGATGCTGGGTCCATTTCGGGCATGGTTGGGTCCACTGGGGGTATGGATGGATCCGTTTGGGATATGGTTGGGTCAATTTAGGGTATGGTTGGATGGGATAAGTAAGATATGGGAGATGGATCCATGCAGGGTATGGATGGGATAACTGGGCTGTAGGGTGGATTGGATCAAATTGGGATATGGATGGATGGGATAACCGGGTTGTGAGATCTGTTGGGTCCCTTTGGGGTATAGATGGGTGGGATAACAGCAGTGTGGGAGCCATGGCTCAGCCCTTACTCTTTCCTTGCAGAGGAGCCAGGAGGAGCAGGGAGTGGGGAAGGACAGAGAGCTGAGCTCCGACAGCGAATTCTCCATGGCTGAAAACTCCCTGTACAGCTCCCACAAAGGCGAGTGTCTGGGTGTGGGGAGGGGGCCGCGTTTGTGGGTGAGCAGCGTCCTGCAGGCAGCACAACTTGCAGAAATGGCCTTCGAGTGCTTTTCCTGCACTGTGGTTAGGCTGGGCTGGGTTTCACTGCGGCTTTCGCCTTTATCAGCCAGACACAGCTTCCTCTCCGGGGCTGAGAGCTGCAGCACGGTGCAAACATCCCCTCCTCCTCCCATCCCCAGGCATGGAGCACGACTTCGAGGTGATGCTGAGGGCCACCGAGTCCTCGGAGCGCTGCCGCCTGCGGGGCCGCTTCGTGCTGCGGGCGGGCGAGGAAGCCTTGGAACTGCAGGATGTGCAGAGCAGGGATGTCCTTTACAGCTGGCCATATCGCTTCCTGCGGCGCTTCGGGAGGGACAAGGTATGGGGATGCTCAGAGGGTGGGATTGTGAGGGAGGAGGACTGGAAATCATAGAATTGTAAAATCATTGGGCTTGGAAAAGACCACTAAGGTCATCAATTCAACTGTTGACCCATCCCCACCGTGCCCATAGGGTCATTCAGGTTGGAAAAGACTGCTAAGGTCATTAAGATTGGAAAAGACCACTAAAGTCATCAACTGTTGACCCATCCCTACCATGCCCATAGGGTTGTTAAGGTTGGAAAAGACCATTAAGGTCATTAAGGTTGGAAAAGACCACTAAGGTCATCAATTCAACTGTTGACCCATGCTTACCATGCCCACAGAGTTCATTAAGGTTGGAAAAAACCACTGAGGTCATTAGTTCAACTGTTGACCCATCCCCTCTGTGCCCATAGTGTCATTAAGGTTGGACAAGACCATTAAGGTCATTAAGGTTGGAAAAGACCACTAAAGTCATCAAGACAACTGTTGACCCATCCCCATTGTGCCCATAGGGTTATTGAGGTTGGAAAAGACCACTAAGGTCATCAATTCAACTGTTGACCCATCCCTACCGAGCCCATAGGGTCGTTAAGGTTGGAAAAGAGCACTAAGGTCATCAAGCCAACTGTTGACCCATCCCCACCGTGGCCATAGAGTCATTAAGGTTGAAAAAAACCACTGAGGTCATCAGTTCAACTGTTGACCCATCCCCTCTGTGTCCCTAGGGTCATTAAGGTTGGAAAAGACCACTGAGGTCATCAATTCAACTGTTGACTCATCCTTACTGTGCCCATAGGGTCATTGAGGTTGGAAAAGACCACTAAAGTCATCAATTCAACTGTTGACCCATGCCCATTGTGCCCATAGAGTTATTAAGGTTGGAAAAGACCACTAAAGTCATCAAGCCAATTGTTGACCCAACCCTACTGTGCCCATAGGGTCATTAAGGTTGGAAAAGACCACTAAATTCATCAAGCCAACTGTTGATCCATCCCCACCGTGCCCATAGGGTCATTAAGGTTTGAAAAAACCCCTAGGATCATCACATCCAACTGTTGACCCATCACCACCATCCCCGCAGAATCACTGAGGTTAGAAAAGACCACTGAGGTCACCAAATCCAACCAACCCATCCCCACCATGCCCACCATCCATGTCCCCAAGCTCCACCTCTCTCTTTCCCTGGAGAGATGATGCAGTTCCCCTCCTCCAGGTGACTTTCTCCTTCGAGGCCGGCCGGCGTTGCGCCTCCGGCGAAGGGAACTTTGAGTTTGAGACCAGACAAGGCAACGAGATCTTCCAGGTGATCGAATCGGCCATCGCCCTGCAACGGGAACGGGGCGGCCCTGGGGACGAGGGCACACGGCCACGCCAACAAACCCAGCTCCCCGAGCGGGCTCAGGAGCACGAGGAGCACCGTGCAAAGAGCATCTACACCGAACCCTGCGGCCCTTTGATCCACACCACCCCATCAGCCGTGCCCAAAGCTCCGGAGAAGGGCGTGAGGAAGGATGCTGTGGGTGAATTGGAGTACGCCGTTCCCTTCGATACCATCGCCAAGTCGCTGATGGTTGGAAAATTCGGGAGCATCCTCCAGGGCCCCGCTGATGCGCCGGATCCGCTGTATGACAGCATACAAGAGTCAGGTGGGCATCCTCCATTGCCTCGTCCCCGCGCTAAACCGGAGCACATCTACGATGAGCCTGAGGGTGTGTGCCCCCACACCGTCTACGATGAGCCCCAGGTGGTGAAGGGCGAAGCGTGGAGGCTGCAGGCTGCCCCCGAGGAACCTGCAGGGCACAAATATCCCTACAACCCACAGCGGGACGACTACGCCGTTCCCAAGAGAGCCGTCCCGCTGCGGCAGGGCAAGGAGTGGTTCGGGGACACCGAATACGACAACGTGGTCTTTCAGTTGGCCAAGAAGAGGAACAAGCAGTGAGAGGGCACGGGGTGCTCGGCCCCCATCGCCAGCGGTGCACATCTGGACAGCTGCGGCCGCTGGAGGGCACTGCGCGCCCGCGCTGTGGGATCGGCACCGCCAGACTCAGAGCGGAGCACGGTGCGCCCCAGAGCCCGGCTAAGCGTGGTCCCAAAGGGTGCGTGCCCCACACCATAAAGGTGGAGTGGGGAAGCACGGAGCCAGGGGTGCACATCCATCAAAGAGCTGGGCGGGGGTGAACATCCCAGGGATGCACATCTCTTACTGTAAGGGCTGGATGCTGATGCGCGTCGCAGGGATGCACATCTCTCAACTCTAAAGAGCTGGGTGGTGGTGAACATTGCAGGGATGCACAGCCTGCACCGTAAGGGCTGGATGCTGATGCACATCCCAGGGTTGCAGATCCCTTACTGTAAGGGCTGGATGCTGATGCACGTCCCAGGGATGCACATCCCACACCATAAGGGCTGGATGCTGATGCACATCCCTTACTGTAAGGGCTGGATGTTGATGCATGTCCCAGAGATGCACATCCCACACCATAAGGGCTGGATGCTGATGCACGTCCCATGGATGCACATCCCACACCATAAGGGCTGGATGCTGATGCATGTCCCAGAGATGCAGATCCCACACCATAAGGGCTGGATGCTGATGCACGTCCCAGGGATGCAGATCCCACACCATAAGGGCTGGATGCTGATGCACGTCCCAGGGATGCACATCTCACATCATAAGGGCTGGGTGCTGATGCACATCCCAGGGATGCACATCTCTTACTGTAAGGGCTGGATGCTGATCATAAGGGCTGGTTGCTGATGCATGTCCCAGGGATGCAGATCCCTTACTGTAAGTTCTGGATGCTGATGCACATCCCAGGGATGCACATCCCACACCATAAAGGCTGGATGCTGATGCACATCCCAGGGATGCACATCCCTCACTGTAAGTTCTGGATGCTGATGCACATCCCAAAGATGCACATCCCGCACCATAAGGACCAGCTGGCAAAGCACAGCCTCAAGCACTCACATCCCACGCCGTAGTGGCAGCAGTGCACAGCTCTGGCGTTGCACACTGCACGTTGCACACGGCTTGCAGGCTGTGCACACTGCAGGGATGCACGTTGCACACCATACAAGTTGGTCCCCAAGCAGAGCTGCCGTGTCCCGGTGCTGGGGAAAGTTCCCCATCACCCCACAGCTCTTCCACCCAAGGCAAAGCAAAAGCCATGAATTATTTATGCTCTCTCTCAATCAAATAAATGGTTAGGTGCTTGAGTTAATTTCCTGAAGCCTGAAAATCCAAAGTGCAGACTTTTAATAAGGCAAATTAAGTGCTTTATATATTACACTGATTAAAGCTGCGTATCAATCCATCTATCACACGTTGAATGGAAGGGGCTGGGAACAGCCAGGGCGCAGGGATGCTCCGGCACAGAAAATCCTACAAGTTTAAAAAAGAAAGAAACGATCTCTAACGTGTGACCAAATTAATTAGAGCTCATTATGGCGGTTATTTATTATTAATGGATGTTAACACAGTCCTCTCCTCCCTGCTGCAATCCCACTGCGTTGCCTCCGGCCGTGATTTTTCTTCGTTAAGTGAAGGAGTGGTAACACCTTTGGACTCTGATATCCTATGGGAGTAATGGGATTTGCGCTGCTCTGGGCTAACGAGGGAGCCACTAATCACTTTGCACAGGGGTTGAGCACGGGGTGGTCGGATTCCCACCTCAACAGGTTCCTCGTTCCCTTTTTTTGGGTGGAAAATGAGATGTGAGCTGGGATGGAAAGCCCAGAAAAGTGGGATGAAAAGGCTGGAAAACCCCTTTGCAGTGCTCAGCATGGGAGTGTGTTGAGCGTGAGATGAGAAAACACAAATCGATGGCAGAGAGAGGGGGGGAAGAGATTAGAGCACAAAGCCCCAGACAAATGGAGAGGTGTAATCTGATTAGGGAGTCGTTGTCATTATTGTGTTATGCTGATTATAAATCATTTAGGAGCACAGCTAATCACAGCAGAGATTTGGTCAGAGATTTAAGGGTTGCTGCCTCCAGCAATGCCCCACCCCAAAGGGGAGGGCAAACTCAAACCCGAATCCAAAGTCAAACCCAAATAACCAAAACCCAAAGCCAAATCCAAATCCAAACCCAAATATAAATGCAAGCCCAAATCCAAAGCCAAACCCAGACCCAAATAGCTCCAGCCCATATCCAATCCTAAACTCAAATCCAAATCCAAATAACACAAAGCCACATCCAAACCCAAACTCAAATAAATCACAACCTTAAAGCCAAAACCAAACCTAAATCCAAAGCCAAACTCAAAACCAAACTCAAACCCAACCTAAGCCCAAACCCAAACCTAAATCTAAACCCAAACCCAAACCCAAGTCCAGATCTAAGTAACTCAAATCAAAACTCAAACCCAAATAACACAAACCCAAACTCAAATCCAAACCCAAATAACCCAAATCCAAACCCTAATAAATCAAAACTCAAATCCCAACTCAAATCCAAACCCAAAGCCAAACCTAAATCCAAATCCAGACTCAAATAACTCAAATCGAATCTCAAACCCAAAGAACACAAATCAGAGCTCAATGCCAAATCTAAACCCAAACAGCTCAAATCAAAACTCAGACCCAAACCCCAACCCCAACCCAACCCAACCCCAACCCAATCCAACCCTAAGCCAGTCAAAACCCCATCCCAACCCCAACCCAACACCAATCCAACCAAACCCCATCCCAATCCCAACCCAACTGAAACCCCAACCTAACCCAACCAACTGAGATCAAAATCCCAACCCAACACCAACACCAATCCCAACCCCAACTCAACTCCAACCCAACACCAATGCCAATCCCACCAAAACCCCCAACCCAAACCCAGAACCAACCCAACTGAAACCCCAACCCAACTGAAACCCCAACCCAACCCAACCAACTGAGATCCAAATCCCAACCCAACCCCAACCCAATCCCAATCTCAACTCAGCTCCAACCCAACCCAACCCAACACCAATCCCACCAAAACCCCATCCCAACCCCATCCCAACTGAAACCCCAACCCAACCGCAACACCAACCCAACTCCAACCCAACCCCAAGCCCAACTGAACCCAAACCCCAACCCAACCCAACGCCAACCCACCCCCACCCCATACCCCCCCCACTCTCCCCATGGCCATCTCCCCACATTAGGGCTGCTCTCTGTCTGCAGCACTGCCTGAATCCCAGGCGCCACAGTGCAGCTGCAAACTGCATTAGCGTCGCGCCGCAGAGTCCCTAATACAATTACGGGGCAGCATTAGAGGTGCTAATTGACAAACCCCTAATCAGTGCTGGGATTTATGTCAATCAGCCCCTGGGTAGGGCGGGGCAGAGCCCTTCATTCATAAAAATTGCTTAATGGTGGGGTCTGGGTTCTGTCCGCTGTCTCATGGGCACACGCATGGGATGGGAAATAGGAAAAGGGATGCAAGGTGTGTGTGTGGGG